TAGCATCCTGCACTGCCAAGGTCTCTGCTGAGGGCTCTGCTGTTTCAGATCTGCTTTCTTGGGCAGGCCTTGGGGTACTGATCCCCTCGGCATGTAGTGTCTCTGGAAGTGGCGGGCCTGCGTTGTCCAACTCCAGGATGCCTGGTGCTTGTTGGAGGTCTGTGTTTTCTCCCAGGGCAGAACATGTGGTGTGAGTGGGCTCTGGGTGCTCGTGATGTGGCCTCTCCTCTGGGATCTGAAGCCCTGGAGGTCTCAGTCTGGGTTCGGGCCTCAGGACCGTCACACTGCCATCTTGTTCCAAGCTCTCCCCGGGTGGCACATCCATCTCGAAGGAGTCCTGTCGCTGGATGGCCCGGAAGTGAGTGCTCACCGAGGGCTGGATGGTCGGAGAGAACTGCTCTCCTACCTGGGCCTCTGACTTAGGTCTTTCACTCTGTTTGACCTGCAGCAGTTGAGACACGGAAGTTAAATATGCCCCCTTTGTTATTACACAACAAATGGCAATAGTTGGAAACCCTTTCTGTACATATCATCATCTAATCAGGCTGGTTTCTGGAAGAACAATGGATTGTGTGTGGCTCAATGGATCAAACCTATCACTTCACTCCAGCCATTGGTAGCCATCGCTACCAATTCAATTTGAAATTGGCGATTAGTTGACCACAATAGGTTGGCCGACTGCTCTCTTCATTATCTTGCTTTCCAATCTCTGAGCAACTGATGATCAGCTTCTTATGCTGATAATACTCAGATCTGCATCCACACTTAACCTGACGCTAAAGTAACTGTTTCTGCACTCTCTATTTCAGTGGTTCTCAAACTATGGTACGCTGCCATGTGGAACACCATATGACCCTAGAACTTTGTTGAGTGCACTTAAAAATTGGGAAGAGTTTTCATATTTTCTATTTGAATAAAATTAGTTTGTGTCGAATACACAGCCTACATACTACGATACAGCGCGCGCTAATACTTGAGTGGACACAAGAGCTACTATGGAATTCTATACCATTCTATAGGAATACATGCTACGAATGTAACTGACCAATTGTATTTAAAAAAAGCGATCTCCAGCAAATAGGGAGGTAGGAGACTGTGCGTGAATTTGGAACAATGCCAATGTTGTGAGCACAGGAGAGCACAGAAATGCGTACTACAAACGCTGGCAATCTTGGGAGCTCAGGAAAGCTTGATAGATAACAGAAAAATATTTAAGAACTGTTCTAGGTTAATTTAAGAAATTAAATTTTTCCCATTCTTTTAACTTCTGAGACGGACTCCTGAAATGGAAACAGGGATAAATGCCAGCTTGCGGATTGCTAAAGCAGGTAAGCCCCAAACTACTTGTGAAGAACTTTGTTTACCGTTGGCAAAAGAGCTGACACGTATTATGTGTGGAGAAAAAGCTGCTAAACAGCTCGACCTGCTGCCCCCCCCCGAAAGACAGTCACTCGTAGAATTATTGATATGGTGGATGATGTCAAAAGTACGCTGATAGAGCACGTTAAGATAAGCAGCTGCTTTTCACTGCAATTAGATGAGTCTGTAGATGTCGTTGATTTGGCCAGTTTGCTCGTTTACGTTTGCTACGAGTTTGAGGGCATGTCCCATGAGGACTTTCTGTTCCATAAGCCGCTACCAACAGGAACTGCAGGAGAGCCCATATTTCAGCTTCTGAATGAATTTATCGAAGAGAATGGCCTCGACTAGATAAAATGCGTCTGAGTTTGTACAGACTGTGCTACAAAGATGACAAGCCGACGCACAAGTAGTTGCACGAATTAGAGAGGTTGCTCCAGATATGAAGTGGACGCACTGCAGCATCCACTGCGAGGCCTTGGTCGTCAAGAAAATTTAAACGATTTAAAATCTGTTTGACTCTGTTGTGTATTGTATCAAGGCTCGACCAATGAATTCCCTTCTGCTTTGCTCGACTAAACAGGCTCACCCCTCTCGCTGAAATGGTGCTTTTTCATTATTTATTTTTAATTGCTGTTGTTCCTGTTGTCATTCTGTAAAGCACTTTGAGAAGCCACCTTTAAAAGGTGCTATATCAAATAAAGTTTATTTTAATATTTATTACATGTGTATGCGAGTGTGTGCGCACACGGGCGCTCATGTTGTTCATTGTGATTTTCTGGGGTTCCTTTAAGAAGATGAGTTGTAGGTGGTACTTGGATGGTTTGGTTTGATCAGGGGTGGTACTTGGTCCAAAAAGTTTGAGAACCACTGCTCTAATTGCATCTCTGATGTAAAAACCTAGATGACTCAAATTTGCTTAAACTGCAACCATGCTGAAGTCATTCTGCTCGGCACCTCACAGCAACTATGTAAAACCAATGCAGGAATCCTATCCTATGGATGGATTTGATTCTGGCTTGACTTCTAACCCTCATGTGAAGAATATTGTAAAAATATCATTCTTTTCAATACCACCAGACTGTTGATTACTGCAACACCCTAACCTACCCGGGTATTTATATCCACACTGTACAAACTCCAATATGTTCAGAATTTGACAGCCAGAATCCTGAGCAGGTTGCATGCAAGCCATCACATTACCCCTGTCTTGGAGTCTTTGCACTAGGTTTCTATTAGGTTCGGGGTCAACACCATCCTCATACTCACCAATAAGGCTCTACATGGCTTGGCACCTCAGTACATTGGGTAGACATATCTGTGTACTGCTCATCTTGCAACCTTTTTTCATCTCACTTTTTTATATGTTCTCCAAGCTCATCTACACTCATGGGTGAAAGGGACTTCTCTTGCTACAACCCAAATCTCTGGAATTCAATCCCCAAGAATGTCTGAGTACCCAACCCTGAAAGCATTTAAATCCGTCCTCAAAACATTTATTTTCAGAAAGGCATTTAATTAGCGTCTGTGTCTTCTCTATTTTCTAATGATCTTGTATTTTCTGCTGCACCTCTATCTGCTCGTGTTCCTAATAAGCTCATTTTGTAATCTGCTATCCTTATAACTTTTCTTACACTTACCGGAAAAGGTGCTACTTTTAAAGTTGCAATATAATATAAAGTTTAATATATCATTAACTTACGATCAGCTGTAAAAATGCAGATGTAAACACGGACGCCCTCAATTTCAAGAAAGCGTATTCACTAATTTAATACATGTGTTATAAATATTGCTAAATGATATAGCAGCTTGTGGAAGTTAAGATGGTCTAGTGAATCAACTGGTTTAAGGAACAGGTTGTCTGCAATTTTGTGACAAGGTTGTGGTACACTCATGGGCTGACAATTACAGTGGGTGGAACCAGTTTGTTCAAACAGGGCTGGGAGGTAGAAAGATCTGCAGTGACCTGACCCAGATATTTCTTGTTCCTCAGGGCTGCCTACCTTCGGGAAGCGGCCCCAGGCCCACTGCATCTGGGGCCCCATAGACTCCTGTGGGCGGACCAGCAGCTCTGAATCACTTTTGGGGGATGAGGGTCGGCTCTGGAACACGCTGGAAGAGAGAGAAGTATTGACTTGAGAATACCAAACCCCAGATTCAAGGTCCGTGCTTGCAGCCACCTGCTGCCATTTAATAATAATAATGGCTTACACTTATATAGCGCTTTTCTGGACACTCCACTCAAAGCGCTTTACAGGTAATGGGGATCCCCTCCACCACCACCAATGTGCAGCCCCACCTGGATGATGCGACGGCAGCCATAGTGCGCCGGAACGCTCACCACACATCAGCGATCAGTGGGGAGGAGAACAGAGTGATGAAGCCAATTCATGGATGGGAATTATTGGGAGGCCATGATTGGTAAAGGCCAATGGGAAATTTGGCCAGGACGCCAGGGTTACACCCCTACTCTTTTTGAGAAATACCCTGGGATTTTTAATGACCACAGAGAGTCAGGACCTCGGTTTTACACCTCATCCGAAGAAAGCGCCTTTTTTACAGTATATTGTCCCCCTCACTACACTGGGGCATTAGAACCCACACAGACTGCAAGGTCAGCGCCCCCTGCTGGCCCCACTAACACCTCTCCCAGCAGCAACCTTAGTTTTTTTCCCCCAGGAGATCTCACATCCAGGTACTGACCAGGCTCACACCTGCTGAAGGGTCACACCTTCCTGCCTCGGGAAAAGCAGTGGGGAGCTATACCATACGAGCACAAGCTCACCTCTCGGAGAGCGACCACTCTCCATCGGAATAGGGATGGACGTCTCGGGACAGCGTGTTGCCTGTTTCTAGCGCCGGGTCCTCCGAAAAGGAATAGTAGACAGAACTGCTGTTGAGACACCGGGAGTAAAGCTTTAGTGTGATGCTGAGTTTAAAACTTTGAAAAACATTTTAAAATGACCCAAACTCAGGACTTGAGGGTGCATTTCCATCTGGATACAAGGAAGAAAGCAGATCTGCACTTTGATTTCTCCTACCCATGAGTGACAGGAATGCCAGTGATGCATCATATGAGGAGACCTGGACCAATCTAACAAACACTAAGGTGCAAGCGAGAGTCAGTGTTGCCACATTAACAGCCACACCTGTCAACACTACAGCAGAAACAGTTTCTAACATGGACCAGTAGACTTAAGAACAGCTTCTACCCTACTGCAGTATGCATCCTCAACAGCTAACTGCAATGCCTCAGACTCAATACAAACCTGCACCATGCACTTTTTGCATGGTCTTCCATGTGGTTTTCTCACTACTACATATTTATGGCTCCTGTTAATATTTATGTTTGTAACGTACTGTCTACATTGTGTGGTGTTGTCTGCTGTACTGTGTATGTCCTGAGAGATCAGCGTGAATAAGAATAAGGATTCCAATGCAATGTTTATTGGACATATGACAATAAACTCTACTCTACATGCCGGTAGCTGCTGTATAACGCAGCTGCAATGGATGTGCCATCATTCACTGGCCCATCAAATTGTTTCTAACGTGACGCTTTGTGGAACTGGGTGATGACTATAGATTGGCGGGGAGTTTCAAGGTTAGATTTCAAAGAGCTTGAAAAATACTATCAGGTTTAAAATCCATCTTGAAAAGACCAGAGAGCCATGCTGGCAGACTAACCTGGCTGCTAGGTGTGCGGGCAGCTCTGGCCCAGATCCCTCGCTCTCCGGGACGTCCCGCTCATCGGAGGAGGAGCTCCCCTCTTCCCGCCAGGGGGCGTCCGAACGCGTGCGCTTGCGTCGCCGCTTCTTCCTGCGGGAGGCGCCGCTGAGAGGCGTCCCTGGGGCCTCGCAGTCCTCGGCGCTCTCCAGGGGGATGGGGGATGTGCAAAGGTGCGCTGGGACCCTGTCCTGCGGGAGAGACACGGGCTCAACGCTCAGCTATATCACCCTGCAGCTCACAGCAGCAGTGTGAGCCTGGCCAATACCTGGATAGGAGACCTCTTGGGAAAGCTAAGGTTGCTGCTGGAAGAGGTGTTAGTGAGGCCAGTAGGGGGCGCTCACCCTGTGGTCCATGTGGGTCCTAATGCCCCAGAATAGTGACAGGGACACTATACTGTAAACAGGCACCGTCCTTCGGATGAGACGTAAAACTGAGGTCCTGACTCTGTGGTCATTAAAAATCCCAGGGCATTTCTCGAAAAGAGTAGGGGTGTAACCCCGGCATCCTGGCCAAATTTCCCATTGGCTCTTACAAATCATGGCCTCCTAATAATTCCCATCTTGAATTGGCTTCATCGCTCTGCTCTTCTCAACAATGATAGCTGGTGTGTGGTGAGCAGACTGGAGCACTTTGGCTGCTGTCACAAATATTATTATCATTAACTCAGTTGGCAGGGGTCAGGAGCACTCACTGATCTGACAGCCAGCTTAATTTATTTATGACTGAAGCAACGAAGTGGATTACTTTCTTGCTTCACTCAAGTCTTTTAAAGAGATTGGAAATCAGTTATTTTCTTGTAGCAACCCAGCTGTCCACCCCCCTGTGGACATGCTCCTCATACAGATCCACCCTTGCGTTGGACATCCGACACAGTCCTCGCAGGAGAGTTAGTCAGTGTGGACAGGAGGAGCGGTACATCTATTCCTGTAAGCTCACAGGCGACTCTGGCGCGTTTCACTGTCCACCCAACCCCAGTGGCCCGGCACCACCTTGACCATACAGCTTAATCTGTGCTCCGAGCCTGGGCAACATACAGGCAGAGCAGACAGCAGAGAAAGATATGGAAATATAAAGTTCATTTAATTTTGTTCAACCTTAATTTTGTGATTTTTGTGATTCTTGTGAGCTTGCAGAAAAGACATTTCAGTGCCAGCAACTACTGCTGCACGCTGTATTGTTGTGCATTTGATAAATAAACTTTGATTTGATTTATATCAAACACATAACTAGCCTGTAAATTCTGCAATTTCCCTCACGGGATCAATAAAGTATCTTTCTAATAGAATTCTGAAAATTCTTAATAACTGTACACATTTATATACTGTTCTCATGCACCTTTAACAAGTTCACTGTGCCTACAGACAGACAGCCCAGGTACTGTTGTCTCTTTCATTACCTATAATCAGGAAGGAAAGTGCTGTGGTCTGGTACACCACTGACAGAAAGACAAAGAAGCACAGCAGCAAAACAGCACTGCAGGAAAGAACAGCCTTACAAACAACAAGAAAGATAAGTGTGGCAAGTTTCTTCTGTAAGAGTGTGGATCTGCATGGACTGCCTGAGCACCGGCAGAGCACTCCTTTCCTTAGCCAGGAAGCGAGCGGTGTGCTGGTGTGTCGTCATACCATAAGACAAGACTTCTTCGCTCTATACAAAGAAGAGTCTTTCCACTAAAGGGGCGGAGCAGTGGCTCTGTGGCTAAGGATCTGCGCCTGTGGCTGGAAGGTTGCCAGTTCAAATCCCACAGCTGGCAGAGGAATCTTATTCTGTTGGGCCCCTGAGCAAGGCCCTTAACCCCAACTGCTCCAGGGGTGCTGTATAAACGGCTGACCCTGCGCTCTGACCCCAAGCTTCTCTCCCTGTCTGTGTGTCTCATGGAGAGCAAGCTGGGGTATGCAAAAAAGACGAATTCCTAATGCAAGAAATTGTAAAGGGTTAATAAAGTGATGTTATATGTTATAAAGGGATAATAATTTAGTAGCCGTTTCGTTAGAACGCTAGTTCAGAACTTGAACCACTTCTGTGATCTCGTGGGGATCTTCAATACCAGACCTGATGAGCCTCAGGTGCTGAGCAGGGAGTGCAGTGGGAGTTGTGCTCCACTGTCACACTTACAATTTGGCAAAAACAGACATTTCACGGTTGCTGGGAGCAGCCGGTGACAAACCTGCAGGTCCTCGCTCTCCTCCACAAAGAAGGCCTCCCCGTTGTCGCCCAGCTTCATGTGCAGCTCCACCGGCTCCCCATTGATCTCGATGTCCACCTGCAGGCCAGAGCCACCCGTTACTGAGCCGAAAGGGCTGGGTATACACAACCGCTCTCAACCGGCGTCCACTCCCGGCGACTTCAAGCGGAGGCCATGACACCCCCTCCCAAAGAATACCCATCCTGGACAGGTGTGCTGGGATGGGGAGGAGGGAGCCCCCTGCTTGTGTCAGTGGGACCCTTTCACTGTCCTGCACTCCTTCACGCAACAGCCTGCGATTATTACCAATTAATGAGCAGAATAAATGTATTAAAAAAAGTAGTACGAATAATTTTGTACAGGTTCCTCAAGAACAGCAGCAACGGTATTCAATGTCTAAAGAGATTAGCAATTCTCTTCTTTCACAACCCTGCTGGAAATCATGTTATGGAAATCAGGAATTTGGATGGATGTTTACCCGTTATACCCTCCGGCTCATAGGGGCAGCAACATCCTGTTGCTGTTTCCGTAAACATGAGTTTTTTTCACGGGACAGGGTGGTTAGCCTTGTGCCCAACCTCCAACATGGAGGACCTGGCGCCTGACGTGGGACACGAACCCACTACCCTGAGAGGATGAGTCTCGTGCTCCACCAACAGAGCTAGTCGGCGTAATGAAATATGCTGCACTTAAACTCAAATTTTTACACAAGGCGTGTTCAGACCGACACTGAAGCTCTAGGGATGAGGATGAGAAGCCCTTCTATAAAGCAGGTCTGTGCACCCCTGCCTGTCAGAGCTCTTTAGTCCCTCCCTGGTCTGGTCGGGTTCGGCCAGCGAGACTTGGACCGGACCGCGGACTCCCCCCCCTCACTCACCACCTTCTCGCGCGAGCGCAGCACCCCCAGCTTGCCGAAGCGCACGTGGAACGGCGAGCACTGCAGGGAGCCGTCGGGCTGCCGCACAACGAGGACGTCGATGCCGCCGGTCAGCGTGGCGGGGTTGAGCCCCCGGTACAGCTCCTTCACGGTCACGAACACCGTCTCCGCCAGCTGGCCCACGTAGTTCATGGTCTGAGACTGCAGGAGAGGGCGAGGGGGTTCATGCAAACTGAGCCTGTGCTGCCGCGAGAGAGGGTTAGTACACACGCTCCTCCTGCCCCCGACGGAAAACAACCAGCAGGGGGCGAGAGTGCAGACCCGAGTGGGTCTCCTCCAGACCCTTCACAGCCATCACCCTGCTGGGTCATCAGAGAATAAATTCAACCCTTTTACAGATTGTGCACAAAGTATCAAGCAGTTATGAAGAGCATGGTAGCTCTGACACATCTTATGACTGGAGAGCATCTTAAAAAGCCTATTTTCAGCCTGTTCTTCACATAGATCCGGTGAGCATTGGATATGAGACCTTTTCATACATTCTGTGTGCAGGACAGTGAGTCTCCTGACAAGCTGGATGGAGATTTTCAGCTGTACAAAACAGCTCTGGAGTGTAAACCGGACACAGGCAGAAAAAACAAGTACCAATATAGTTTATAGAGGAACAGATTCAGTACTGATTGAACCATAGAGGATATGGCATTGCATCCAGGAGCAACGTTATTGAACCAACGCAAACATGTTGTTTCTGACCGTTAACATGAACAAAAAATACAATTTGAAGTGTGGGAAATCAAAAAGAAGCAGAAGAAAACAAAGGCATAGGTTAAGAAATCTTACCTGCACATGTGCATTGGAGAATGAAAAAATGTACTTACTTTCTAACTAGCTCCTGCTGGCAGGCTTTCTGTCCATTACAGGGACTGAAGATGATATCCTATTGCATTAGCTTTAACCTTTGGATCCAGTTACACTCTGCAGTCCAGAAATCCCACTTCCCTGCAAGCAGCCAAGGTCTAACACTTATCTAGTATTTACAGATGCATTCCAGGGAGGGCTAGCCCTGACCGCTGATGGACCTGGATTACAGCACACATACCTATGCCTCTCTCTAGGTGCTCCTGGGAGGGGACAGATCTTATTTAAACAGCAGAATGATGCAAGGCTTTGTGTGTTCCTCTTTGAAAGGTCAGAACTTCCAGCCCTCTGCATTAAGACTGCTGTAGATCTGTGATCATTTATCACTGGAGGAAAAGATGCAGAAAAACAACCTAAGCACATCATCTTAGCTCATGTTGCTGAACAGAACAGAATTGTCAGCTAGTAGACAAGCCTCAGTCTCAGATGGTACCTCTGGTATCTATCTATGGCAACACCTCTTCTTTCTCTTAAAGACAGTAGATTTTCCAGTAGGCACTATGGTACAGAAGATATTATACAAGGCTACTACTGTCTATAGTCAAAAAGGAGTGTTCCAAGTTAACAAGTTGACTTGTTCACACAGTTGCATTTAAAAAGGTGGCTCCTAGGTGCCGATCTGAACATAGTGGACAAAAAGGGTCTGGATCTGTAGCAACGAAAAAAGGTAGGAGGAGAAGGGAAACCTGTAGGTTTCCCCCTGACTACAGAAAGGACTGGAACCACTATCCCCAGTGAACCCTCATGACTTCAACACAGTACAGAGGGCTGTACACTAATTCTTACCCAGAAGAGCACACAACACAGTTGTTAAAACAGAAGGAGTGTCATATTCTTAAAAGTAAAAACTCCTATGTGACATAATTGAGGAGCACAAACTCATCACAACACTCCACAACGTACGATCGGATTTTACTTAGAACATGAAACTGCTGCCATTCGAACGCATGATTCTAGTTCACTAAAGTCTCCATCTCACGGGACAAGAGAGCCTTTCTGAACACTACCAGAGCTCACAGAAGCATCAGCACCACACGCTGACACACCTGGAGACAGGACAGACGCACTGAGGAACCACACAGTGGATTTGTCTGCCCTGGGCAGCTCCCTGTGCAGTAACTTTCTTGAGTAAGGGCTGCAGGCCTGATCGCAGCCAAAGTAAACACAATGCTCTTTGATGCCACTGTCACATCAACATACTTTAAACACCTGTAATTAATCTCTTTCTGGGGATTCTTTGTAATTTGTGTTTTAATGATTCTATCAATGAATTTCATTCGGTTTACACTGCTGCATAGTGCAGTGTTGCAATTTAGAGCTCATCACTAGGAATGCCAGTCACAAAAATATATAATAGATATACAGCATGTGTAAGACACTGTGGCCAAACAGGTGCTGTTTGTTGAATAGAATTGCTTCAGGAGTTACAGGCTCATGTTTCATGCTGGCTGTCATCATTTGTAGGGCAGCAGAATGGTGCAATGTTCAGGTTTCTGGATTCATAACTGGAAGGTTGTGGGTTCTTACCCCAGGGGAGACACTGCTGATGTGCCCTTGAGCAGGCCACCTCACACAAATTACTCCAGTAAGTCATAAGTACATTGTATAAATCAGTAAAGAAAGTGAATGTAAGAGTTAGACTTGTAAGGAAAGGAAGGCAGTGGGTTTGAATCCCAGTTGCGACTTTGGATAAATACCAAATCATCAAATAAATGAAAGACAATAAATTAAAAAAAAACTAAAAAGAACCCTGGCAAAAGACAAAGGGTGTCAGTTGTCAGGCACCTGGTATCCAGCCGGTCACAGGTTGGCGACTGTAGCTTCAGTAACTAATACACAAGGGATCTCCAAAACAGCAGGCTTGAAACCTGCAAATAACGTGCAGCAGTTTCTTTTGGATAGAACGAACAGAAACCCTTGGGAGATAAGACAACAAGAACGTTATTTGTTGTCTTGGATGGCATCACAACAGGCAGAAAAAGTAGTCCTGAAGCCAGCAGGAAACTTCAAACCTGCTGGTCAGACCCTGTTTTGATACAAGCTGTCATCACAACCTGGGTTTGTAATTTGTAACTGGTACATAGGTCAAAGTTTAGATTAAAGGCAGACAGGCAGAAAGTCCTATATTTTAGTCTCTTACATTTTTAAATGACGTGCTAAGCATGATCTGAAAAGATCTGCATGTAAGTGTAGCTATAGATGGGCATCTTTCAATTTTTTTATTTTCATCCTCATGTGTTTCAGGAAGAAACCTTCTCTAGTCTCACCACACATTTCATTATAAATCAGTTTTTACTGTGCTGACAGTACAACAGGGCCAACAACTGCAAATGATCATTTCAACCCATTAAGGCAAACGAAACAAAGCAGACTAGGACTTGGTACACAAATCAAACAGCCACCTGAGTCTGACCTCACAACTCAAGCCTGCTGCATCCTGCTGCATTCAAGCTTCACAGCTAAAGGGCAGATGAAGACCTTTCTGCACTCCAAGCAGATGAGGTGGCCAGAAGAAAAGAAAGCCTGTTTCCTTTTTTTGAAAAAGGTGGACACCCTCTGCAACTTGAGACAACCCTCGCTGTCCTGCAGGAAAATAAGATCACCACGGAGAAGCAGTGAAGCTGAAAATAAACCCGAAAGCTGCTGAGCTGCTTACCCACAGCGAGGGGTGCAGGGACTCGTTCCCCACGACGCTCTGTCCCTGGGTCCCCCCAGCTGCCATCAGAGGACAACACTCCCAGCATTCCCCACTGCGGCGCTCCCGGGTGTTGACAAGGCCTCTCTGGGTCTCGCTTGCAATAATCGGGGACCAGCTCCTCACAGGGCGCTACATCAAGTGACCCTAATCGCCTGGCCCCCAGACCCTCCTTTTCTCTGATGCCTCCGTTGCGGAGAACGTCTCCCACGCCCCCCCCTGCTTTTCTCCCTTTCCTCGAGATCTGCGAACTCCCCAGGCCAGCGCCGCGCTGGTGGTCTCCGGGCTGTGCTGTGTCCCCCCCGCCACCCTGGGCCTGTCTCTCTGGCTGCAGCCCCACTGCGCTGAGAGAGTGAGAGAGTGGGAGAGCGAGAGAGAGGGGCCCAGCACATTCACACATAGCCCCTGCCCTCCCCCTCCCTCCCGTGCATTCACACTCTCGTGCTGCACATGACAGCTTGACCGCCGCTTGCAAGCCAGCAGTTTCTAAATAAATCGGGCACTTTTGCACCCAGCGGCCTCACGGGGCTTTTATAAAAAGC